GCCCCTTAACAGAGGCAGAGGGAAATCAGTCTACATACTTTTGTACATATATGTACGTGTATTTCGTCATATTCAAAATATAATAAACGTTACACACAGTGTAGCTTTTAGTAATAGTAGTAGGTCAGGGTTTCGATGACCCTTACGAAACGAAAGCGTCGACGATTCACCTCGGATCACCCGAGAGAAGTGGCATCATAATCCCGATTCTCATTTTCTCATTGCTATTTCCAACTGAATAACCGGCATCGCCATTCGTATGATCGTTCGCCGATCTAGACGCTCACGACGGCTCCGCCATTTCCGTTTCTCCGGCCTCGGGCTTACGGAACGAAAACTGTCGCTAACAATTTCGAACACGGTATCGCATCGAAACGCTGTCGCAATCGTGTTCATCGTTTACCTTTTTTTAGGTGATTCGTTAAGTTGAATAATACGCGATCCTCCTTAAACGTTAATACATCCTCGTCTCTTATACGTTATCTTTACACTCGTTTACTTCTTAGCTGCTTATCGTTATCGTCGTCGTGATCGTCGTTGTTACGGGGCAACATTACGTTAATAAATAAAATATTCAAGCCGACTCGTATAAACATTCATTCAAACAACGCGCGTAAGTACCTCTCGTCGGGGGTTTAGTCGTCGAACATTTACTTTCACTCGCATCGCGGATCCATGGACCATAATCGGCTACGAAAGACGTCGCGTTCGCGAGTAATCGTAAACGGTGCACGATTTTTTAGGCAAACGGGGGATATCACCCGTCGTGTCGAAACGGAGAGAAGGCAGATTAAACTGAACTTCGATTTTCGTAATCCCACAACAGAATTGGTACTCGTTTCGCCGGACACCATCGCCGTCACAACAACAACAATAATAATAATTAGTCTCTCTCGTTCATTCTTAAAATTAATGAAAGGAACGCTCGAGCCAATAACGATTATTGGGACGCGTTAAGATGCGATTATGAAACCGATTCTCACTCAAGTCTCGCATACTCTTTCGGCTGTGTTAGCCTTCTGTTAAACTCCATTTTGTACGGAACGCAACAGGAACTTGAAGTACGTGTTGAAAAAACGAGAAACTCGTATGACCGTTTGGGGATGAGGCGCGAAACGAATTGAAGAATTTCGTGGGGGTGGGGGGGTTGAAATGAAAATCGAGGAAAACGGTAGAGCGAACGGGGGGGAGATCGAGCAGGGAACGATAGTTTTATGCGTATAAAAATAAGAATTTTATCTCGATATTAAAAATTTGTCTATCCTATGGATTAGAACCAACGCATCGCCGTACACGCATATTCTAACTATACGAATTTTTCGGAACAGTCTCAATCATTTGTAATATATATATATATATATGTATATATATGTATGTATGTATGTATAAACACACCCGCACATGTTTACACTCGCGTAATTGCGCTCCGTCTCTCGTCGTGTATATTAAGTTGCCATAAGTCCCGAGACTTAATGGACAGATAATCTCGTCGGTAAAGGAATTCGTTAAATCGAAGAGCAATGATCGTTTTAATTAGGCACATTGCGTCTGTGTAAAGGTAAACCAACAGTCCTACCAATAGATCTACAGTCCTTCTTTCGTTTTCCTCAGGAATTTCTAATCGCAAATCCACTGTCCATTAACGTCTCGATACGGAGTGCTGCCTGTACAGTCGAGACTCATGTTAAGTAGATACACTTCAGAATGGAATAGCTTTATCAATATTGAAATTTTCTGTGAGATACCAGACCTGTTTACTATGTAAGAGGAATATTTGTTAAAAATTTGTATTAGAGAAGAGAGTAAATGTTTTATTGAGGGTCTCTGATAAAAATTTGAAACCATATGTAGATCTAAGTTTCACCAAAATTCATTAAGGTTGTATGAA